GCCTTATTTCCGCCTCCCTTCTACCCAGTGAGAAAGAGGTATTGGTATGAAATTTCTGAGGCATATCTCTGTGAAAGATAAAAGAACGTTATGACTTATCTTTGTAAACAGATGTTACATGACAATTCAAATTTCTGTGATAACGTACTGTATGCCACACGAGGGTACTGGCAACATAGCGCATTTCTAACTCGGATATTTAAAGGTGCTGTCGGTATCGAGGCTATATAGCGTCGGATGATAGGATGATTGATGACTGTCTAGTGAGAACTGGCAAGGAAACTAAGCTACTCGAGTATAATAACACCCATCAAGTACCACAATGTCCACCATAAATCCCGTATGATCAATACACAAACTTAATGTATAGAGTTCACTTACTTCTCCTTGACCTGTCAACTTCATAAAACGTGTATCATATAGTAACAAATGCATAGGCGATCAGCGGCCGCGCGGTCTAAGGCATGAACCGTCTTCGCTCTCTCAAACGCTGAAGTCGTGGGTTCGAATCCCACTCACGACATGGATTTCTGTGTCCGTTTATTCTGTGTGTACGCAGCGGCCTTGAGAAGGGCTGATCCCGCGTCCAGGGAGTCCTACCGACTGTGTATAGGATAAGAAACTGAAAAAGCGGCCAAGGTCCAACAAAAGGACTGTAGAGCCACGGATGGATGGATGAATGGGCGGACGGACGGACGAAGGGAGGGACAATTTATTAGAAAAATTCTTGAAACTCCGTGACGGTTGAATGTATTTATACAACTGTGATGGGTAGCACTAATATGGATCCATATTAGCACAGTTCAATGATAAGAGGGGTATTGGTGAGACTGCCTGAAGATGGTCCCAAATGTGGACCGAAACATGTAGCAACCATTAAACAAAACCAACGTGAGCAGTTCGACTGGTTTATTGATTTATTGTTGTGTTGACAGCCAAACACCATCAATCATGATACACAACACGATGCAAACAGTCAAGGTCTGCTATCTTACCGAACATAGCAATGTTACGTGTTAAATCAACGCTCCCATCAAAAGATTAGAGATCAGACATTGATTATGTTATAAGCGGAAATTACAGCTGATCTTTCCACGAGAATCCTAGAACTGCGCTTTGAGCATATATTGTTCTATAGTTACTTACATACTCATGGAGCTGAGCCCTTCTTGAGACGCCAATTCTACTGCTAGTCAAAAATTTCCCAGCATTTTATGCAACCCGAAGGTTCATTACCGTGTTCACAAGAGGCCTCCACTGGTCGATATCCTAAGCCAGGTCAATCCAACCCATACCATCCCATCCTATCTCTCTAAGATCCACTTTAATATTGTCCATCCATCTACGTCTTGGCCTTCCAAGTGGTCTCTCTCTCTCTCCTTCTGGCTCTCCCGCCAATATTCTACATGCATTCCTCTTCTCTTCCATTCGTACTACATGCCCTGCCTAACTCATCCTCCTTCACTTGATCATTCTAATTATACTTGGAGAAGAGCACAAGTTATGAAGCTCCTCATTATGCAGTTTTTTCCAACCTCCTGTCACATCATCCCTCTACAACCCAAATATTCTCCTCAACTCCCTCAGTCTTTGTTCCTCCCTTAATGTCAGAAACCAAGTTTGTTCTATATCTTATTCGAAATTAACTTGTATTTGCTTTTGTGAGTCGCGATATCGCAGTCAACACAGTGGCTACATTATGGGCCGAAGACCGAACAGTCCAGCATCCAGAATACGGGTATCCAACCAGCTGGGTGAACAGTCTCTACTGATCTTTCGTACAGACGCCCTCAAAAGTATCCTCATGCACGTAAATTTCTCCTCTTCGAATTCTCTTGCTGTTAAAATTCAGAGGTAACGAAACTGCAATTTATAACATTGGGCTTATGGAAAACATGGGTTCGGTTTACGGCGGCTCGACTTACGACTCTCCAGGAACCAATTTGGTCGTATAAGCGGTGGTCGCCTATATCCACAGCGGTGAATGTACAGAATGCAGTATAATGGGTCCTAAAAATGGTCCTTTATCTCATCTCACGTTTCATCTCCCTCCCCCACTGATCTGAGTGACCATTTCTTTACCATATGCCTATATAACGTAAGCGCACCCTTACCCTACTCGCTTCGACCCTGATTATGGAAGCAGCATATTCCTCCGAAACGCTGGTATACACCTATACGAGTACATGGTGTCACAACCCAAAAGATCACAATCCGATTGCTATTTAAATCAGACGTTCGGAATCAGCTTCACGTCTATTTATTTCGTCAGCAAAATGAACGCATGGCGTCCTCTGGCACGCGGTAATAACAGCGGGATATTAGCTACCACGCGCGTCCAGTTTCCCTCCATATATAGCGTCAGTAACAGAAGTACTCTTTTAATATCGTCAATTTGATTTAAGGTTCGAAACATAGGCCCTATCACCAAATTACATTACGAGCACAAAGCATGAAATGTCGTACATTTCAATTTGTTGTAATGTTCTTTGTTTGACTTCACGTTTTAGGCTTCCCCATTAATGGGTACGGCGCACAATGAGAACTGTTTACTGAGTTGCATTGGAAAGCAACAAGTTGCCCAGAATGAGAGGGGGGGCAGCACAGTGGAAGTATCGGTAACAATCCCGTGTTAGTCCGAATAAAGGTGACGTTCTCTTTCACACATGACTCCGCAAAAAAAGGACCGCCTTAATATGAATATTAAGAGAAATTCTGATTACTGATTACACGATATTTGTGAAAATACACAGAATAGTAAGTAAAGGTACAGATAAAGCTATCCCTGTAACAGGCCGTGGAGGCCCATAGGTTTTGATACGTAAAGGCTCCCACATTTTCTCAAGACAATCGGCTCACACATGCCGGTAGGGTTGTCAGCCTTACGCGCCGGCCGCCTTTTACCACCAGGAATATTCCTGGTACTCATTTCTGTTAGAGGCTGAGTCGGCATCAGGGCCATAGTGCGGCTAGAAGGATTAGGTCAATTGAAAAAAAAATCCAATGTCCTCGTCGGGACTTGAAACCGCGGCCTTCCGGCTTGTACCACAGTGCCTCAACCAACCACGCTACCGCGTGCCCCCTTCCTAGAAATAATATGTAAGGAATTAAATTCTGAAGTTATTATTTCTTAATAGTACAGTTTCTACTTTCTTTTGCTAAAAACGCTCAGACCTAAATGGCATGTTTACTTCTGTCAAAATAACTTCTTTTTTTTTCTGATTTCTTCATTGGAAAAACTGGGGGTCGCCCTATATTCGGGCTATAACGGTGACACGAGTGATGATAACAGCAGTGCTTCAGTTTACTGTTTGCTAGCCGATCTGCTCGGCAATACCCCAGTGTAGCAGTACCAAACGTAAACTGGGAAGTGTAATGCACTGAAAGGTTTTCATGTTTATCTTCGTGATATTAATATAAAATAACAGAATTGTAAGAACATTAACCAATCTATTTTAATCATAAGTAGGCCGCGCCATAGCTCAAGCGGTTAGTTGCTGGCTTCCCACCGCGGTGGCCCGTGTTCGATCCCAGGTATAATCAAGTGGGATTTGTGGTGGACAAAGTGGCGCTGGGGCAGGTTTTCTCCGAGTACTTCGGTTTCCCCTGCCAATCTTCATTCCACCAATTGCTCCACAATCGCCCTCACCTATCATCTGGGGCTGGTAGAATAGGCCAGAAATGTCCGATGTACAAGGGACTTAGTCCCACCCCACTAGCAATAAAAAAATAATCATAAGCAGTGTAACTGTATCCCTATATTCAGGTAGCTAGCAGGCTGCTGAAGATGAAAGAGACATGTTCCTCCGAAACGTCGGTTGCCTTTCAACCAACTACGTGGCGCTATATACCATAAGATAGAATACTTCCATAAAGCACTACCATGAGAACCTCAAATACTACTTTTCGGTTATTAACAGTGAATCAGACAACTGACAACTGCTGACAAGTAGCGGTTTAGCTGTAGGTGTAAACAACTCCATAGAGCAGAAAATTTCGTAGAAAGTAGATAGTTGCTCGGCTGATATAAAATTTCGATCTTTTATGATTCCGATGGTCTATTATCGTGTTCTAAACAACCTGTCATGGGACCATATTCTGAGTCAGCTAACTGTCTATGGCCTTACAGCCTGCATACGTTCCATTTTAATATTATCCTACCATCAACGCCTCGGTCTCCGTGATTCCTTTCATTTAAGTTTTTCAGCAAACATTTTGTGCAATAAAATCTCTGGTCGTGAACCTCAAGGGACTTGGCGCCAAGACGAACTGATTGGCGGTAAACCGCCAGTCGTAAAGAAACTCTGACTCTGACTCTCAAGCTCTAGCCCGTGTGGAAGCGGGTTCGAATACCTCCACCTAGCCCTGCGAGTCGTAGGAGGCGAAGAAAAGGGGGCCCACTCCCTGGGGGTAGAATTGGGCCTCCCTGTTCCTGGGGGATATAAATAGGGGGCCCGGCTCTCCAGGTTTGGGAAGTATCGAATCTGAGACGGTAAAGTATGGTCTTGAGACCGTGTCTATTCACTAACACGATAATATTAAAATAGAGCTTAAAGAAATACAATATGACGGTGTTAGCTGGGGTCATTCGGTTCAGGGCAGGATCCAGTATCGGAAACTTTTAAACACTAATGAACTAAGAAAGTCCACAAAAGGCTTACCTGACTAGCTGAGCGACTATCAGCTTCTCAAAAAGGATTCTCCTCCGTGGTTCATATTGAACTATCATTCTTTCAAAAATTTCGACAGTTTTCCCACCTTATCACAAATGGTTGTCCATCTTCGATTCCTTTTATCAGTCGGGCAACAGCAGTGAACATGTCTCAGTACAATCCCCAACAGACAACGAAACCCAACACGAAAAAGAAGGTTCATAACGCTCGTATCTCCTATCTCTGGCAGTGCTGCCAACATGACACTCGTGTAATGTTACATCTACGTTATACGCTCTTGACATAATATTTACAAACAGTTCCATTAAGGTCCTCCATAAAACTCACCTACGCTTGTCGCACCTGAGGCAAAGCCAAGCAGTCCCGCCGTCGTTTCGTACCCGACATGTCTTGCAAATCCTGCACCCACAGTCACAACAGTCAACTCCTTTGTTCATCAGGATCCCAAATTCGGTCTGGCAGAAGGTACAAGCCCGCCCCCCAGGATTTGCTTCCCTTGGGCGCCAGTCACTTCCGGCTCCAATTGGTCTTCCGAGTTCCAGACCCAGCAACTCTGCCTCAAGTTCACTGCAACAAACAGAAAGGAAATCTCAAGTCTCGGACAGATATCAATGCGCATGCGTGGCAAACAAACATAAGTAACTTCTGTACCAACTGATCTTCGGTGCAATGGAGACCTGGTGTGAGCGCTGGAATATTAAAATGAGGATAAGACTCATGGTAGTACTTCTCTCACAGTCGTCGACAGCCTGTGTCTCATCTTACAATGAATGGACGAAAACTCCATTTGAAAATAGTGTAAAATATCTGGGTGTAATCTTAAATAAGTTATATGGAAATTGCACATCGAAATGATCGAAGCCAAGGCCATCAGAACATTTGTTGGATTATATTCCCTATTCAAAAGTGAGCAATTAAGCGCTAACATTAAACTGACCCTCCACAAAGAATTCATTAGGACTATAATGACTTAGGCTTGACGCGCTTCGGAATTTACGTCAGATACCCACCTTTTAAAATTGCAGCGCCTGCAACACAAGGTTCTCGGCACCGATGAATATTACCAAGGTGCACACCGGTCCGCGAGTTGCACATGGCTTTCAACCATCCGTTCGTATATGATTATATAACAAAATTATGTAGGCAACAAGCAGAGGTCATACAAAACCATGAAAATGCAAATTTTCACAGCATTTGACAAGGCGAAGACCGACAGAGATACTACAAGAGGATTAAACTTGGCAGCGGTCAAGCATACAACCATTCAAGCGACCAGACTGCCGTTACAGCGGTAGATACTGAATATACTGTATATAAATACTTTTAATAACAAGTGAAATATAAATATATTGTACATATTGAAAACTGACATGTTATTGTTGACAACGGCTCTAACAAAAACATACCCGTCCTCTCGTCAGAGAGGGCGCCCCACAAGTAAAAAACAGCGACGGTCAAACAGAATCTAATATTTGATCACGAGCCTCAGATGAGGCTCGACAACAAGACAGACTGACTAACAGTCAGTCGCAAAGTGACTTTGACTTGATCTTCGATGCTAGGTCACAAGGACTTAATAAAACTTTTACCAATTTCGATTCATGCCACGAGTATTTTTTTTTCCCCCACTTTAAAAGGTATTAAACAATTCCAACTGTTACGCAACGAAACAGACCCGAGATGGCTCAGTCGGTATAGAAATGGATTAAGGGCTCGACGGCCGAGGAATTTTGGTTCGATAATCGTCAGGGGCAAAAGATTTTCCATTCTCCACGGCGTCCAGACCGGGCCTCTCGGGCCCACCCAGCTCCCTACACAATGGGTACCTTTCACCTCTATGCAGTGCCAAGGTCGAGAATACGTGGATCCACACATCCACAACTCATACGTTTTTATGGCGTGGTGCTTAATTAATTGAGAGGAATAACTTTGTCTCTTTTACCTTTACCCTACACAATGAAAGGTGAATGCATAGTACTTAGGCCTTAAGTCATGATCTGACATATTCCGCCTACAAGAACTCTGAGGGTTCGTCATCATTACATGATGATAAAAATCGTTGCGTCGTCATTAGAAAATTATTATCTGGCTTTCTTGTTCTCTCTTTATTGTCACTACATGTTTCGGCCTGACCGGCCATCTTTAGGTGTACAGGGTGTGATGAAGGAATCAGCTGCTCACTCTAACGCTGTTCTGCTTTTCGTATGTGGTTGCCTAGGATTAACGCTACGTCATGTGCGTTAACCATCTGTTGCTATGCACGTGTTTGCCTTATCTGCAGTAACAATAAATAGAGAAAGGCCAAGAGAATATTCTTACATGTACACCCATTGCTAGGCAATGTGCTGATAAACAAGTTCCCGCGAAGAAAGATTCTTGGTAAACAGTCTGTTGCTAGGTTACGCAAAATTAGATTAGGCTCTGTTTTCTATGTCGTCCGCGCCGAGGACGCGGTGGAAAAATGGCGTTATGTAACCGGTTTCTAAGCAACGACTAGGTAAATATATTTCCGCGTATCGGACCGTGCTATGAAAGCGACGACGCCATCAACAATAGATACGGTGTATTCCGTGGGGTCTGTGCAGAGTGCTTATATGAGAAGGGAATTACAGAATTCGTTGAGTCAGTTCTCGGTAGGAGATAGCCACGGAAAGTTCGTAGATGAAGAGCATAAGAATTCGGCCTGTGAAGGCTTAACGTGTGATTAGAAGACTTCATTTGTGTGTAATACTTGGAGTGTGTGATTCAGTGAGACTGTTACAGTTCCCGTGTCATAAACCCATCAGGACTAAAAAGATTAATGTGGAGTGACTGTAAATTGTAAAAATCAGCAATAGTATAATAATTAATTATAGTTACGAACTGTAAGTATCCAATAAATCCAATCACCAATCCAAACCCGCGTCTTTAGTCACTGATACACGTGACAATATTAACCGACGGCAGAAAATAGGAGCTCAAAGTCAGATATACGCAGTGCAACACAATGCTGCAATTTAATTTTACAAAATCATTAGGTTCTACTTTCAGCATACAATTGAAATCAAAACTGTCATACCGGAGCTCTCGTTTAAGACGCACAACTTTTCTGCCGTAAGGTTGCCTGAGGTATGACGTACAATGTAAGATGTTTCAAACAGACAAGAGTCAGCAGAATAGGAACTAGTGGTTAGTCCGGTTACATAGTCGCAAATATTAATGAATAAACATCACGAGATAGCTGAAACAATTGCTGACGGCTTTCACAGATCATAGCTGAAATAAATCTTATTATAACGGTCCAACGGTACAACGAATTGACTCCACAGCAGGTCTTAACAACAGCGTCACGGCTTAACAATGGAAATAGAAAGCAGGGATTAGGGTAATCGCATTTGAGACACAGCAGACAGTTTGAAATAGGAGTGACAGTCAGTCCCACGCCGCCCATTGCAGATGCTTTCAATAAAGTCTGAATCTCCTGTTTTCCCTGCAAAACACGGCCATATTTACAGTTAGGTAACAAAGGCCTCCGACAATTTGTACTCTTTACATACGATATTAAAACTCCGTGGCCTGTAGTCCGCAAGCGAACTATACCGAGCGACAGCCGCTTTTAGGCGAAGTTAGTGCAAAATTTTGCAGATAGAGGGTCTCACGTGGTCAGCGCAACGGATCCCCACGGTCGTTAATCTCGGTTTTCTAGACCGGAGATACTATTCCCTTGAAATAGCCCCTCAATTATCCTCACAAGGCTGGGTGGGCCCCGTTCCAGACCCAACACTTCTCAGAAAAACTGGTAGCACCGGGAATCGAACCCGAAGGTTAAGAATAGTGGAGCTACACCCCCACCCCTACGTCTTCATGGCGTGGTACTTAATCAAGTCCAGGAATGTCTTTACCTGTTTACCTTTATATAAACATGCAGTCAACAGTTCAGACTATATTGTCAAATAATAGTATGATAAAGTAGTGACTTATGACTCGGGAAGAACAGGTATAAGGAATAATGTGAAGTTCTATCCCGGCATTTTGCCTGGGAGAGACGAGGAAAACCATGAAAACCTCACGACAGTCGGTCTTCCGACTGAGATTTGAATCCGGTACCTTCCGAATTTCTCAGATGCGTTACCGCTTGAACCAAAACAAGATATGGTATCAGATTCTCTTACATACAAGATTACAAACATATCAGACGACAAATTACATAATGACCATGAAAGTTTGGTTCTGGGATGTGAAAGAAAATTAATAACTTGAACTTAGACACAACTGTTTACTCTTTTTTTTTCCAGTGACCCACGCATACCCCTTCTCTCATTTAATCACACGCAACATGACCTTTCACCTCATAAAACGTTGCTGGATACGCTATACATAACTAACTAGCAGAACTTGAAGTTTCACACCTGTTAACACAAAGCCTAGCCGCTGGACACAGTTCACCTCCCAACTTTATAACCTACAGAGTGAACCGAATAATTTTACGTACAGCAAACATGAATAAACAAACAAACGCCTTGGATATATTCCGCACGCGAACTATACCGACCGAGCGATCGCCGCTTGTCGGTGAAGTTAGTGTCAACTTCAGCGGATAGAGTGTGTCGCGTGGTCAGCACAACGAATCTCCACGGCCGTTAATTTCTGTTTTATAGACCGGAGCCGCTATTTCCTTGAAGGAGCTCCTCAATTATCCTCACGAGGCTGAGTGAAGCCCAGACCAGACCCACTACTTCTCAGAAAATCTTGTAGCGCCGGGAATCGAACCTGGACCTCTGGATCTGTAGCCAGGAACTCTGACCACTAGACCAGAGTGGCGGTCAGAGCAAACACCGATGCCAGTACAAAAGTGTCGAACTGTCCTTACTTCAGATATTCCAGATGTTCGCCACTAGCATCCTAATATGTACGTCCTACAAAGCCGAACGACGGAAGCACAACGTGGCAATGTTATTGTGGGACATCTTTCTGCTTTCTGTACAATCCACAGAGGGCCAATCTCAAGAAATTAAACGAGACAGAGGGTATAGAGCAGTGTCGTTTTGAAATCTCAAATAGATTTGCATTTTGGAAAACCTTGATGGTGAGGTGGATATGAATAGAGCTTGGGAAATTATCAGAGAGAATATGAAAATGTCTGCCAAAGAGAATGTAGGTTATTATGAATTTAAGAAGCATAAGCCATGTTTCGATGAAGGACACTCAGAATTTTTAAAGACAACCTGCAGTGGTTACAGGATCCAAAAGAAATAAATGGGGATAATCTCAACAATATAAGACGTGAAACCAGCAGGCATTTCAGGAATAAAATGAGGGAATATCTGAAACATAAATTTAATGAGCTTGCACCGAACAGTAAGAATAAGAGCATTGGAGATCTGTACAGAGGAAAAAAATTACTTTAAGAGGGGCCGCCAAATAACTTAATGAAGGATGAGAATGGTGATCTGCTTGCAGATTCCCACAACATTTTGAATAGGTGGAAGAACTACTTCTCTCAGTTATTGAATGTGCATAGGGTCAGTGACGTTAGGCGGATGGAAATGCACACAGCTGAGCCGTTAGTACCTGATCCTAGACCTTCT